TATGAGTAGGGTGCGAATGGAATTGTTGATTGTGCGAAACATGCGTTCGGCTTTGCCGTTTTGAGGAGAAGTGTAAGGACAGGATAAGCGAAGCAAGGTTCCACGGCTAGCGAGAAACGAGGTAGTGGCTTGGTTAACAAATTCGGTACCATTATCCGCCTGGAAACACTTAATGGAAGAGCCGAACTGGGTCGTAACATAAGCAACAAACTCAACAATATGCTGGTGAACATCAGACTTATGGCGAAGAGGAAAAGTCCAACAGAAGTGACTAAAATCATCCAGCACCACTAAATAATACTTAAAGCCAGAAGTACTCAAGACAGGAGAGGTCCACACATCATAGTGAACAAGCTCAAAAGGAGAAGATGTACTAGACTGAGACCGAGAAAAAGGTAGACGCGTGTGTTTCCCTAACTGACACGCATGACACAAACTATGATCTATCTTAGTACAAGGAAGAATAGCTAATTTGTGGAGAGTCTGAATAGCAGCTGAACTGGGATGACCAAGACGACGACGCCACAGGGTAGAGGATTGGGCCAAGAAGCTGTGGGCAGCAATAGCAGGTGCAGCAGTAGGTAGAGTGTAGAGGTCACCACGACTATTGCAGCGAAGAATCACGCGCCGGGTACGGAGGTCCTTAACAGAAAAGCCGAACTCATCAAACTCAATGGAACAGTTATTGTCACGAGTGAATTGACGAACGGAAAGTAGATTGCGAACCAAAGAGGGGGCGACAAGGATGTTTTTAAGATCAAATTTAGTGGTTCCTATAGGTAGAAAAGAAGTGCCACGACAAATAACAGGAATAGTATGACCATTGCCAACAGTAATGAAGGTATAGGAATTGGGAAGACGAGTAACGAGAATACCGTCGGTAGAGGACATGTGTGAAGTGGCTCCTGTGTCAAGCACCCAAGGACTTGGACTTTGCACGGACAACTGATTGAGGGCAGCAATCAGACCTGCCTGATCCCAATTGGGCTGAGATTGTTGCATTGGTGGCAAGCCCGGCATTGGTGGAGAGACATATGGGCCTGCAAATGTTGTGTGTGCTTGAGGATATGGGCCAAGCAGGCCGGCACTGTTGCTGGGACGCTAGGGAGACTGCTGCTGCTGCACAGCCCATGGATTGAAACAAACCCATGGGCCGGTAGGTCGTGGCCCAGCCTGGTGCTACTGCTGCTGGAAATTGTTCCCGAAGTTGCCATAGCCGCCACCGTTGCTGTTGTTCTGTCGTCCGCCATTGCCGCCACCACTGCTATTGTTTCGGCCACTGTTGTAGCGTCGCTGGTTGCGGCGACCACTGTTGTTGGAGCCACCGCCACGAGACTGTGATGAAGAAGAGGACGCATGTAGCGCCCGTTCCGTCGTGGCGCCTAGCGGGAAAACTATCTCTTAAAAAAAACCCTAATTGCGAAATCTGTTTCTTTGTTTGTTTGTCTAGTGTCCGTGCCACTCAGATCCCGAATCCCAATCCTTCCCAAATCAATTCCTCCACAAAAGTCTATTTTGCCTCCCTCGGGTTCGATGGGCCGAATCTCTCTCGGCCCATCTCCCCCTCCCTCCCCGGCGCTCTCTCTCTCTCTCTCTCTCCCTCTCTCCCTCGCTCTGCCCGCGCGCCGCGCGCGCGTGCGCGAGAGCCGCGCCGAGCGCCCCCCTCCCTCTCGCTCTCCTTCTCCCCGCCTCCATCCCTGGCGAGCTCTCCGCCCGCGAAATCGGCCCCGCGCGTCGTTGTTCGCGCGCGCGCGCCCGCGTGGTCGTCGCCCGTGTCGCGCCTGCGCCGTCTGCGCCGCCCGGCCCCGCTGCCCTGCCGCGCCTGCAGCCGCGCAGCCGCTCGGCCCCGCAAGCCAGCGCGCGTGCCCGAGCTGCGCCGCTCAAACCGCCGCGCCTCCCGTTGCAACCCGCGCGCGCGTGCCGTGGTGGCCGACCGCCTGGTCGCCGCCGCCGTCAGCCTCTGCCGCGCCTGCCCGCGCCTGTCGCCCGTGTCGCCGCTCCGCTCCACACCGCCCTGCCGTCATCGCCGTCGTCATCGCCGGGCCCCGCCACTCCCCGCGCTAGCTTCCAAGGAAAGGAGGCAGAGCTCCCCCTCCCTCTACCGCGTCACCCCCCCCCCCCCCCCCCGCTCCCCTCCTCCTTTTCCCCAAAGAGGCAAGGGGCAAGCCCCCCTTTTTCTCTCCCTCTTTTCCCCTTTTTCCTCCCGCCGGCGTCATCCTCCTCCCTCCTCCCTGTCGCCGCTTTGGCCGCGACCGCCGAGCGCTAGCCCTCTCCTTTGACCGCCCTAAGTCGGTTCCCAAACCGACATTGCCATCCTATAAACCCAAGCTTCCCCCTTTCCTTTCCTCTCCCATTCGCCTCCACGCCATTGTCGCCGCCTCCCGTGCTCTGTTCGCCGTCGCCGTTCGTTGTTGCGCGTGTCGGAGGAGCCGGCACGAGCAAGCGCGCCCTCTCCTTCCTCTTCCCTGGCTCGAGGCCGGAGAGATTACTCCCGCGCCGTCGGCCTCTCGTCACTGCGCCCGCCCGCACGGTAGTGCATCTCCCCGTTCTCCCTCCTCGCTCCATCTCCTCCCCTTAGACTCGGGTAGTAGCACGAGTAGCCTCCCCGTAGCTAGCCGGCGCCGCCCTGACCATTGCCGCCGCTCGCCGTGTGCTCGCCGCCGTCGCCGCCCGAGCTCGGAAGCGCCGCTCGTCGCCGGCCTCGCTCGGCGCCGCTCCGCCCAATCCAACGCTAGCATCGGATTCCCGTAGCCGCGTAGATGCTCTCGCCGCCGGGAATTGGCCCCTCGTGACCTCGTCGCCGTTTCCCCCTTCTCCCGCCATCGGTTGCCGCCGCCGCAATTCACCGTCGTCAAGCCCCCTCCGGCGAATCCGAGCCGTTGGCTCATCTCCCCTCGTCCTGTGCAACCACCCGGTGTGCTCGCTTTCACCTGTATCGCCGTGGTTCGCTCCGCCGCTCGCCGCTGTCGTCCGCCGTCTGTTCCGGCCGGCGTCGTCGTCTACCTCCCGCCGACCCGCGTGACAGCCACGTAGGCGCCACGTCCGCGCCAGCTCGGCCAAGACCGGGTCGAGCCGACCCCGGTCAGCCCCTCCCCGTGCGCGCGTTCCACCGCGAGCCGTGAGGCTGTGCGTGGGCCCGCCGCATCCGCGTCCACCGCGAACCGCGCGCGTGCACCGCGTCTCTCCCCTATCCTAGCGCCGCGCCGCGTGCTCCTTCCGCACGGTGAGCCGAGCCGCTGACAAGCGGGTCCCACTCGGGACCACGCGAGGTGAGCCCGGTCCACCGGCTCTCTCTCCTCCCCTCCCGCGCGCGCGTGCCTTGGGCCGCCTTGGGCCGGCCGGCCTATTTAGCTCGGCCGAGCCGCCCCTTTTCTCTCGGGCCGCGCCCTAGCCACCCGAGGGAAGTCTAATTTCCCTCCCCCTTTTCTCGCCGTTTGTTGAGTTGTCCCGTTTTGCGCGTAGTCTCGGAGCCCGAAGACCCGCAGTGCGAGGATTTCGAGGATCAAGCTCCAGATCTCGAGCAAGGCAAGCCACCTTTGAACATCTTGAGCCTATATTTGAATTTAATTATGTTGCTTGAAAAATATTATGCATTGATAGGATCGCACTTAATCTGTTTGTCCCGTCTGCAAGGCAGATTGGCGGACCTACCTAATTTGTTGCATTTGATCCTTCCTTTGTTAATTGTTATATCATGTCCCCTTGTAACTACCCAGTTGCGCCTCGGAAATCGTGCACTCTGCACGAGTATCGACGGTCGCCTTCAAACTTAAAATCTGAAAAACTTCTTGGGTAAAACTTGGGTTTTACAAAAGACTTGGAAAACCCGACACCTGGGTCGGTGCTTGCGAACTAAATGAATTTCCAAAACTGCGGACCGGGGAACGTACCGGGTGTACGGTTTCCCGCTCTTGCACTTAAGTACCGTTTCCTTGGAATTTCATCCGAACATAAGACAAGTACGACCACATGGGTGGAATGGGACACCCCTGGCTGAGTAACTAGCTTATCAGGGGAGCCTTGATGCCGAGAGACATGTGGATTCGCCGGGGTGGTGTCGGGGAGGACCCCTGGGCTTCCTGGCACAGTATGGTCTGGGACCTAACCTGTTGTTGGTCTGGGACCCCTCTCGTCGGCATATGGTAAACCTGTGTCGGCTTTCGAAATGCCTTGTCATGAAAGCTTGGAGGTCTCCCGACGTGGCTGATCCCCACGGGCTAGGTGATCCGGGTTAGTAATGTCGTGTGGGTAAAGTGTACCCCCTCTGCAGAGGTTAACAAACTGTTCGAACAGCCGTGCCCACGGTCATGGGCGGATGTGAGGTGATTCCTAGCGTAGTTTTGTTTGACTACTGCCTTGTGAAATTGCTGTTGTGGAAAGGGGTTCGATGTTTGGAAAATCTGCAGCTGATGGGATCAGCTAGGCCCGGGTGGCCGTTTGAAAGTTGTTGGCCCGGGTGGCCGTTTGAAAGTTGTTGGCCGGGTGCCAATCTTGAACAATTTTAAAGACTGATACATTGCACATACTCCGACCGGACGAGACGCACTGTCTCATCCGTATCGTTTGAGTAGCACTCACTTAGTTGTTTTCAGAAAAGAGTTCAAATAAAATCAATTGCAAAAACAACAGCCCTTTCTTTGAAGCCTGCATTAAACACTTATTTCCCATGGCTTGCTGAGTACTCCCGTACTCACACTTGCTCTATATAAATAATCCCCCCCAGTTGCTGAAGAAGATGAAGCGGATCCCGCTGACGAGGAGTACTTCCAGGAGCAAGCCGGCTACGATGAGTTTTAGGGTTTCGGCCTAGTTCCCAAGTCGCGCCTGTGTTGCTTGGTCTAAGTCTTGGCTTCCGCTTCCCTTTTGTAATGCAGTTGTGAGCTCGGGATCTGTCCGCAGCCCGACTTGATTGTACTCCTACTCTATAATAAAGAGACCTCTGTTGCTGTGATATTCTGTCTTCCTGTGATACCAGCACTGTTTCCTGGGACTGGTATCGATTAACAAGTTAATTTGAAGCGCCACGGGCTAGTTCCGGTCGGGACTAGTTCGGGGCGTGACAACGCACAGGTGCCGGAAGTGCAGGCATTGGCAGAGGAGGCAGCGACCACCATGGCTGTCTCAGCCTGGACCTTGTGTGCATTGGCAATTCGCAGCTCTTTGAGCAACAAGGTGTTGCGCGCCGAGGCGAAGGAGGGCAGAACGGGGGCGCTGGCGATGTTGTCGGCGGTGCTCGAAAAACGAGAGTTGAGCCTACTCAGCAAGTTGAGGAAAAGCTGAGATTCGGTTACGGGGTGGCCGACGTCGCGGAGGGCATCGGCAGCAGTCTTCACCTTCTGACAATAATCGGCAATGGGCATGTCACCTTGCGTCATTGAGTGGAACTCGTGACTGAGATAGATGGCGCGGGGTTCCTTGTTTGCTTGAAAGAGATCGTCGATGGCGAGCCATAGGTTGCGGGCGGTCTGGTCGGGTTCCATGACGACGTCGAGGATAGCATCGGAAACGGAGCCGAACAGCCAGCCCCGAACACAACAATCGGCTTGTGCCCAAGTCAAGTCGTCGGAACGAGGGGGTGCAATGCCATCAATGTGAGGAAGGAGCCCAAACTTGCCACACATAGAAGTGAAGAAGGTCTTCCACTTGTTGAAATTAGGGTGCTTGAGCTCCAGGGTAATTGGTATGTGAGTCTTGACGTTGACGGTGGCATATGGGTTGACGAAGATCGAGCTGGTAGAATCCCCGGTGCTGGCAGCAGAAGATGGAGTAGAGCCGGATGATGTAGATGCCATTATTCCCGAGGTTGTGGAAGAGGAGGTGGACTCGGTAGACATGGCATAGAGGCAGAATAATCACGACGCGGCGAAGACATAAGGCGGCGCAGCGTGAGCAGAGCAGGGCAGGGCGCGGCGCGGGCAGGGCACGGCGTAGTGCGATGGGGGCAGAGTGCGGCGCGGCGCGGAACGAGCGAGGGCGCGGTGCGGTGCGTCGTGGCGCGGTGGGGACGCGGAAGGCGCGGTGGGGCTGGGGCGCGGCGAGATCGCGAGGGGAAATCGCTGGGGCGTGGCGCGGTGGTGGGGACGCGGAAGTCGCGTGGGCAGCGGAAGAGAAGCGAACGCGGAAAAAGCGAAGGCCAGAGGAAGCGGCGAATTAGGGTAGAAGGAAACCGGTATGTGATACCATGTAGAGAATTATGAGACGCCTCACAACCCAACGTGGGAGGGCGATTGTATTTATATATCCAATACAATAGAGATTACAACAAACTCTTAAATAAGAGTTATATACGGATACAATCTGTACAAATCTAATCTAACTCTAATAATACTAACACTGCGTATATTTCAGGAAACGAAATCATCCTCCCTTAATTTGGGGCAGCTAGCAACACCAACTAATTACAGGCAGTAGAAACGAAGTGAGAACGAGAAATGTTTCCTACGGCGCGCATGTGAACAGTGATGCTGCCTAGTGCAGGAGATATAGCAACGAACATATTGCACTCTGCTACTGAATTGAAGTGAGAACAAGACATGCATATGCTTGCACCTGTGAGGCTGTGATTGATTTTGTTTGTGGTTGCTGTGTATTTCAGCCAAGGCTGACCACATATGATCGCATATAATTAAAATTCAGATATTTTCAGATCTTCTGTGGTCTGCGTGTGACACTGGTGCATCATCATGCATTCAGCCGGGCAGAAGCTAGGCCTGGCCAAATATTCATCAATGACTCAATGTGTACATGTAGGGGTGGACAGAATAAAAACTAAATAAAAAAAAACAAGACCAAGATCGAAAAATTCGATCACCAATTCTATTCCAGATGTTGAAAAACCATATTTTATTCAACCAATTCGATTCGTACCACCTTCTACTCCTCGGCATCAACAGCATCTCTCTCTCTTTAACGGGACGCCTCCTTTTCTAGCTCGAGGTGCACATATGGAGGCTAAAGTGGTTGCCAGCACCTCCGCCTCACTTGGTGTTTTATGTGATTTTTTTTACGATTTCTATGTTCTTTTTAATCTCTAAATTTGCGTATGATTTATGTGGTTTTTTTCTTCTCTGCAGTTGTCAATGATTGACTGAGATTGGGACTAAATTGTTCGGCCTTCAATTTTTCTTGTTGGTCTTGACTTTCTGATGGCCGAAATTTAGCTGAAGATCGAAGGACGATACCAAATTGATCAGTCAGACAGACCTACATGGAGAACAGAAATAGTGCGGGCAAGAATTTTTACCCTCATTTCTAGTGATAAAGTTGTCCACTTGAACGGGTGGAATACCATTCCAACTTCCAAGTCCCTATAAACACAATAACGGCTGCTAACTGCTACCAATGCATGGCTACTTCGGAACATCTATACTCACCGCGATGTTGATGTCGCCCGTATAAATTTCAAGAGGAAGGTCAAGTTCGCTTACTCCGCAAGTGTATACTATTGGTAGAGATACAAGTTGAGAGGATAAGCATGATTTTCTTACCCGCTTATTCTACTTCTGTCTCATTTTTTCTTCCAAAATGTATACTAGCAAGCGGGTAGGGGTGAAAACGGATCGGATTCGAACGGATAGTAGTCATACCATATCCTATACCATATTTTTTAATCGGATTCGGAGGCAATGCGGATAATGTGTGGAAGCAGATGCGGAGCGGATTATTTCAGATGTCAGAAATGGTGCGGAGTCGGTGCGGACTCGGGTCGGAAATGGATGAAAATAATCGGATGTGACATGTATATACAATCGATACAACATCTGATCATCTGTACAATGAGCAACAATGAGATACCAATATCATAATTCACATGATCACAACATAATATAATGTCAAGTTGTTAACGATTGACTTGTCTTCTGTCCAAAAGCATGTAATCAACACATATAGTATTGGCATCACGATGGCAAGAGGCGTCGCCGGCGCCAAGACGGAGACAACCAGGTGACCAGCGCAACGCCTCTGGGGTGGAGACGGTAGGCCACGGCGCCGGGGTGGAGAAGGCAGGTGGCGGCGGCGGCGGTGGCGCCGGGCTGGAGACAGTAGGGCGCAGCGCTGGGTGGAGAAGTCTGGCGGCAGCGTGGGAGGACTAGAAGAAGAGAAGTCTCGATGAAAAAATTGGTTGACGCGACGTCGACGGAGTCACGGACTAAACTCCTGGATAGATTGATGGATAAGGTGGACCTGGATGGGCTGAATCTTTGCACGATGAAAATGCACATGTCAAATGGGCCAAATTGAGTGGTTATATGGGCTGTGAAAATTCGGATTATCCGCCAAAATATTTATCGGATAATCCGCTTAAAATAGCGGATAATCCGTATCCGCCGGATATTACCGATACCATATCCGTATCCGCATCCGCATGTAACTATCCGCATCCGCATGTAACTATCCGCATCCGCATCCGCATCCGGCCGGATATCTAAAAACCCTTACCATAACCTTACTTCGGACGGATTCGAAGCGGATCGGATCGGATAATATACGCTCCGTTTTCACCCCTACAAGTGGGTTTCTATACGGATGTGATTGCATACTTACATCCCTACCTATTGGTGGCGCTAGGCACAGTGGCACGTACGTGAACCAACATCATGACATTCTTATGTACATACTTTGCAACAATGCAACATACCCCTAACAGGCAAATGCTAACACTATGCAACGAGAGTATAATCAATACAACACATGCATCGGCATGCACACAGCTGCAGAAGCTAGGGTTCTTTAAATCACATAAAACATGGTGATTATGGGCATGTTTGGAGAGTTTCTAGCAGCTGCAGCTTCTCTCAAAATCTTTAGCTCTAAATAGTACAGATTCTCACACAAATTCTAAGAGTATGCAGTTATAGAATCCAGAAAATAAATCTGAAGTTAGAAGTTGCTTCTTGAATTCTTAAGCCCTAAGGCTGTCAACGAGCCAATCTCGAGCGAGCTTGCGTGTCTAGACTCGAGCTTGTGAGCCTAATCCTCCTGTATAGGATAATATATATTTTGATGATAAAATTTTGTAAACAACAATAATTTCAATTAACAGTATTGAAGAAAAAGATTATGAGAACTTAAGATTAATATATGATGCGGAAATACAATATTTTTTCACATGAATATATACTAATTTATCATTGAGCTACTAACTTATAACATATAAAAGATAAAAATTATACACACAGTTAGACTCGTGAGAAGCTTAAGTTCGGCTCGTTAAGAGCTCGAATCGAGTCTGAGGCGAGCCGAGCTCGAGCAGCTCGTTTTTTGACAGCCCTAAGCCTCACAAACAAGACCCATGAGACGGTATAGACAGTTACGATATCGATGGACCGGTGCAGCCCAAATGCCCATGAGGCTCAATACGGTCATACTAACACGGGAGGGGTCCATGTGTCGATCGAAACGTCGTCCCAACACTTTGGTCTTGGTCTTTTTTACACTGAAAGCCTGAAAACCTATATCGGTTCCTCACTTAGGGTCTGTTTAGACAATGGGACAAGAAAAAGTAGAATTGGGATAGAGAAATGAGTAAAGAGTTAGGATTAACGGAAGAGAGAGAATGAATGGTTAGGATTTAAACATGTATTTTGTTGAGTGGGAAATTACTTCCCTAACCTATTAATCAAATAGGACCTTACACTTAAGCTTCATCGCAGTAGATGCAGAAAACGAAAATATGTTCCCATCTAGATTACCTAAAATGTGCGCACATGTGTAGCCCTCGGGTCTCTGGAAGGCGATAGGCGTGGTCTTGTTTCGACTTGTAAGTTGTAACGAACGTGCATGGGCCGGAACCGTGATGCTGTACCTAGCGCAGGTGACAACAATGAAAAGTTTCGCTTGTGCACGTGTTTGATTTCGATTTTGCTAAACATCTATCGGGTGATTTTTTTTTCTCTGATATTTGATGTTTTCTTGGGCGTAGGATCGTGCGTCAATATTAGTACAGAAAATTACAGTCCTATATAACTAAAACTAGCTGGGTGGCCCGCACAATTGCGCGGTTAGCATCCATATAAAATTATATATATTTTTAATATGATTTTACTTAAAATTTATTAAATAGTTTTCTCATTATCTTTAGATTTTGAAAGTTCAAACCTTATCATCCTCTTATTTCTAGTTTTATAATTTTTAAAAGTCACACCAGTTGCTACCCTTTACTTTTGTCATATTATTCTTCATTTGATTGCTCGATCTACCACTGTTTCTATTCATTCTCCTTGGAATCTTTAAAATTTGGATCCAAAAACTTATAGTTTTTAGAGTTTATTGTCATGTTGGGCTTATTTTTTATAATTTCTAGAAGTCCCGTCCAACGCTACCATTATACTCCTCTACGACTGTCCACTTCATCTTCTCTTTATTGTCATTGCTTTTTTAAAGTCGAACATAATTATTGTTTAGGTTCAATTTTTTTTTACTTTCTAGAAGTTCTGCCAAAATGTCAGCGGCTTTGTCACTGTACTCCTCTACGGCTCGGCCGCTGTTGCCCTTCTTTATTATCATTGAGATTTTAAAATCAAACATGATTATCATTGGGGTTTATTTTTTTACTTTTCAGAAGCCCGAACTTTTAAAAATTGGACCTTATAGTTTTTAGAGTTTATCGTCTCGTTGGGTTTCATTTTCTTTATAATTTAGAAATCCCGTCAAACGCTGCTACTATACTCCTCTATAACCTGTTCGCCGCATACACTTTATTGTCATTGGGATTGTAAAAGTCGAACATAACTATCATTAGAATTTATTATTTTTACTTTCTAGAAGACATATCAACCATCGGCGGCACTGCCATTGTATTCCCATACGACCCGCCGTTGCCTTTCATTTTTATTTTAATTGAAATTATAAAAATTAAAAATAATTATCATTGAGGTTTATTTTTTTACTTTCTATAAGTCCCGCCAACCGCCTTGACAGATTGCTTCACGACCTGCCCGTCGTCCTTTATTTTAATCATCATTAGGATTTTCTTTTTGGTGTTTTATTAATAGTTTTTAGATGTCCCATCAACCGCCACCACTCTGCTCCTATATAGGCCTATTACTTAATTAATCTCGGCATGTGTTTTAAACGGTCTTTTCTTTCAATAGTCTTTATTTTTTATCACCAATTTTAATTATTTATAAATTGTATTTCTAGTTGAAATCTTTTTTCTTTTTCTAATTTCAGAATTTATTTTATTTTTCGTATTGTGTTGTTTTGATTTTTTTTATTTTCTTTTAATTTCAGTTGTTTCAAAATTGTATTCCTACTTTAACTCTCTTTTTAATTTGCCTAATTTCGTATTTTATTTTATTTTTTATTCTGAATTTTAATTAATGTACTATTGGGTTATTATATGTACTCTTATTTCAATATTGCTTATATTTAATTACGAATTTCAATATTGCTTATATTTAATTATGAATTTCAGTTAATTTTAAATTGTATTCCTACTTGAACTCTTCTATTATTTTCTTTTTTCTAATCTTTATTTTTTATTCCAAATTTTGATTAATCTCGTATTAGATTATTGTATGGACTCATCTTTCAATATTCCTTATTTTTAATTCCGAATTTCAGTTATTTTTAAATTGTTTTCCTAAATGGACTCTTCTTTTTTTTCTAAATTCGGGTTTTATTTTATTTTTATTCCGAATTTTGATTAATCTTATATTACGGTCCAATATGGACTACTCTTTCAATATTGCTTACTTTTAATTCTGAATTTCAGCTATTTTTAGATTGTATTTTTACTTGGACTCTTCTTTTTTTTCTCCTATTAATGTTGAAATTTCTAGCCTCCACAGCGAACATGGTGCCTGTTTTGAAGGTTGTTTTAATAATATAATAGATAGATTGTTCAGGTGATATATGTGTTGCCACGGCTCATATTTCTAGATTCACATGAGTATGAGTTAAGAATATTTGAGATATTGTAGATCTTTAGCCATTTTATCAAGTCTGCTGAATGTGTAACACATTTGGTCGCCGCCTTCGAGTGGTTTGACGGGCACATCTCAGGCTGATGTTGACTGGCAGGCTAAAGACCCAGCATTGTCTCCAATATTCTTCTCTCGAGGCGTCGGATATTTCATTATGTCTGCCTGTGACAGTAATTAGTTTTTTTGTCTATATTTAATACTCTATGCATATGTCCAAACATTCGATGTGATAGGGTGAAAAGTTTTTACATGGGAATTAAACAGGGCCAAAGTTGCATTCAGTATTGTGTCTACAGCTGATCCGGATTCCGTCTAATCATAAGTTGCTCAGCTGAGCCAGCGATGGTTGTTTGCCACGTTTAATTCTAAACATCGTCGTACAATCTTAAGTACTTAAAAATGATCACCAATCAGTCTCAACTCCTAGTTACTTCTTATAATTGTCGTATGATAATCTAGTGCGCAACTGAACAAAATATATTTTTTCTTTTTTTAATATGTGCCAAAGCTATAAACTATTTTTAAGTACATACAGATCTCTATACATCCCATCAGCGTTGGGCTAAATAAAAATGCTACTAATATGTTTAGCATTCTCTCTTGCATTTGAATCCGGTTAGGAATGCATATTGCTTTCTACTGGCTAGTTTTGATTCCAATGTCATGGTGTCAGGATGGCATGCAGCAGATACAATTAATGTGTCCGATTCAAAAATCACAATGTGTCCGATTCAAAAATCTCTCTGAACTTTCCAAATTGTATGAGGACGCCGAGTCATTGTAAATCCTATTTGAATTCTATTTTTCTTTTTATTCAATTAATGTGAGAATTTTTAGCCTCCACAGCGAACGTGGTGCATTCTTTCAAAGCTGTCTTAATAATATAATAGATAGATAGATAGATTGCATTCGTAAATTCAATTGATGTGACATATAAGTGCACTGTAATTTTAATAAAAATATTATGTAAGTAAATATGTATTTGTTATTCTTTTATAGTTCTTTGGATGTAAATCTAAGAGTAGAAAAAATCTAGGTAATATTTTTATTAGAAATCACCCGAAAAATAGATATACAGTTCCGATTGATTTTGCTTGTGGTTTGCCGTGGATTTTGGCCAAAGCTGACCAACTCACTTGTGGTCCGCGTGCGACACTAGCGTATCATAACGATTCAACAATGTGGACATGGAGTCCAGAAAACTAGGTGAAACCCGCGCGTTGCTACGGGAGTGTTTAGTATAATAATAAATAAAAATAATATGTAAGATAGGTAGACAACATAAGATTATATAAGTTAACGTGGTTTATGATAATTTAAATTTAAATTATATACAGAATGATGATTCAAATATAAAAGTAAGCTAATATGACTTTATGGAAGAAGAAAAGTATTGAAATAATTTGGACAATAGATTAATTATCTAAAGACTAAAAATAATTGAGATGATATAGATTAATGAGAGAAAAAATGAGAGAGATAATTTGGACCATAGATTAATCATTTAAACACTAAAAACAATTGATATGATATGAATGAGAGAAGAGAAAAATAACATTAACTAAATAAGGATGAACTATATAGGTACATAGCATATTATAAAAAATAATATATATATATATAATGTAAATTTTGTGAGATGATGATTTAACATGCTTGTATTTTAAAAGCTATAAAATGTAATAAATTATAAAATTATCAATAATATAATATGTTTGCATGAAGTTTAAATTTAATGATTGTTAGTGGATGATGATGTGGTATTTTTGTATGTTAAACTTTAGTAGTTAGTGGGTTATAACTTTATAATAAGATATGATACTACGAGCAAGAACTCAACCGGACTTGTAGTGACAATTTTAAATTCGTCCACCTAAACGGGAGAAATGCCATTATTCCAATTTCCAAATCGCTAGAAACACAGTAACGGCTGCCTACCAAACGCATGGTTTCTTCGGAAGTCGTAACACATTTGTAGTACTCCTCACCACGTCGTCGACTCGATCGTACCTGTAAATTCCAAGCCGCAGTTCCAAGCCGCCACCACAGCTAGCTCCACATATACCGGAGACACGACACCTCCAGCGTTTGCGTACACGCACATCCATAATGGAGCGCGACGCGTGGCTGCTATGTGCAGCGCTCGCCGCGGCGACGGTCGTCTACTACCTCGCCTGCACGACGTCGCGCCGCGCGCAGCGGCGTCGTCTGCCTCCTGGCCCGACGCCGCTGCCGGTGATCGGCAATGTGCTCAGCCTGCGCGGCAACATGCACCACGCGCTGGCGCGCCTCGCGCGCGAGCGGTATGGCCCCGTGATGGCGCTGAAGCTGGGCCTCGTCACCGCCGTGGTCGTCTCCTCGCCCGACGCGGCGAGGGAGGCGTTCACCAAGCACGACCGGCGCCTCGCGGCGCGCGCCGTCCCGGACACCAGCCGCGTGCGCGGGTTCGCCGACCGGTCCATGATATGGCTGCCGAGCTCCGACACGCGCTGGAAGACGCTGCGCGGGGTGGTGGCCACGCACGTCTTCTCGCCACGGAGCATCGCCGCGGCGCGCGGCGTCCGCGAGCGCAAGGTGCGCGACATCGTCGGCTACTTCGCCGCGCACGTCGGGGAGGTGGTCGACGTCGGCGAGGCCGTGTACAGCGGGGTGGTCAACCTCGTGTCGAACGCCTTCTTCTCCGGTGACGTGGTCGACGTCGGCGAGGAGTCGGCGCACGGGCTACGGGAAGCCGTGGAGGACATCATCTTGGCGATCGCGAAGCCCAACGTCTCCGACCTTTTTCCCTTCCTCCGCCCGCTCGACCTGCAGGGATGGCGTCGCTGGGCGGAGAAACGCTACGACACGGTGTTCGACATCTTGGACAACATAACCAACAGCCGTTTGGCCGACGCCTCGGCAGGAAACCACGCCGGCGACTTCCTGGACTCCCTCCTCGGCCTCATGTCCTACGGCAAGATCGCTCGCGACGACGTGACAACCATAATGTTCGACGTGTTCGGCGCCGGGACAGACACGATCGCCATCACGGTGCAGTGGGCGATGGCGGAGCTGCTCCGCAACCCGAGCATAATGGCCAAGGCGCGCACAGAGATGGAGGACGTCCTCGCCGGCAAGAAAACCATCGAGGAGAACGACACGGAGAAGTTGCCGTACCTCCGGGCCGTGATAAAGGAGGCAATGCGGCTTCACCCGGTGGCACCGATACTACTGCCGCACCAGGCGGCGGAGGACGGCGTGGAGATCGGCGGCTACGCCGTGCCGAAGGGGTCGACGGTGATCTTCAACGTGTGGGCGATCATGCGTGACCCGACGGCGTGGGAGAGGCCGGACGAGTTCATGCCAGAGAGATTCCTGCAAAGAGCAGAGGTAGATTTCCGAGGAAAAGACTTCGAGTTCATGCCGTTCGGGGCCGGAAGGAGGCTGTGCCCGGGGTTGCCGATGGCAGAGCGCGTCGTGCCATTCATACTGGCGTCGCTGCTGCACGCGTTCGAGTGGAGGCTCCCCGACGGCATGTCGGCTGAGGAGTTGGATGTCAGTGAGAAGTTCACCACAGCCAATGTTCTTACTGTCCCACTGAAGGCCGTCCCCATACTTGCCTCTAGTGCTAGTGAACTACAAGCAAGCTAGCAGGATAGCCTACCTCATGGCGCATTTGCGGGGCTACATTTAAAGTTTAAATATCGAATAATACTATCAAATAAAGCACAGCTTCGGTGCATATTTATCTTTTGTTTCTTTGTAATCCTACTTGTTTTTATATTAATGAAATCAGTGTTTAATATATATCATAAGTAAGATAAAAAAAGAAAAAGAAGGAATCTGTTGAGGGGTTTTTTCTTCTTCTCTCTTTTTTTTTGCATAAATCTGTCGTGCAGAACTGCAGATGGCTTGCTTACTCAGCAGATGGTACTACAGATCTATTGGCACTAGCCACTAGGCACACACGTGAACCAATATCCTGACATTCTTGTATACTTTGCAACTTAACAGACAAATGCTACTACTAAGCTAACATCAATTGGTCAAGGAAACTAAAAGATAAATCAGCATTTTGTCAAAGATCTAGCTGTACCTGCCGAGTACCCTGCATTTGAGCACCCGATCTTGGACATAAAACCCGGGAGTCACCATGATCTTTACTTGGCAAGGGTTCTGTGACCTTTGCTTGTCAAGATGGATGTCTTCCATGTACATCTGATCGAATGCCCGGTTCTCCTCGACGCGCAATATCACCAGAGGTGGGCTGAATGAGAATGCCAGCAGGTGGAGCAACCAGATGCACTTGGAAGCCACAAAGAAGCACTGCAGCAGCTGCTCTGCCCATGGCCATGACCAGTTCAGCATGGAGACAATGCAGCTCATTTTCTGATCGCAGAAGCGGCTGAAGTCCTCACAGTGGTACTTGGTGCCCTTCTTCAAGACTTCATTCCAGCTCAAGTTGCGAAGCGCAACAAATGAAGCAAAGTTCTCCTGACGATCTTCTTTTGGGTCGAGATACTTGGGTGGCCCGTTCTTCTGGAATGTGCAGTTCTCAAAATCTTGATACATTGCTTGGTTCATCAGAGCTTCGAGATGATACAGTACTACCTTCGGGTGCTTGTCGGTTAGCGTGACTTGATAAGGTTGTAGGAGTAAGTTTAGCTTATCAGATAGTCCGTTGTCAGCATCTTCAACTTGTTGGATTAATACCTTGCAGAACTGTTTGATGGAAAGGCGAGCTTCTGATACTATCTGCAAGAAACCCTCCACCATTACTTCATGACTGACGGGCATAGAATTGTCTCTACTAACAGCAAGTGATCTAGCTGATCTTTTCGAGTGAGATATCATGTTCTTGGTGCTGGTCGCTTGCTTCAAAGCCTTCTTCAGTTCCGAGCAGTACCCTTCCAAGCTCACTAGCTTGGTGGTCAGTTCTCCTAACGACGATTTCATCTCTGCAGCTTCTTGAAGAGCAGCATCCCTATTTTCATTGGCCTCAGCAAGCTCCTTTTTCAGAGATTCTAGAGAAAACACCCCCCATTCCTTAAGAAGCTGTGACATGTTCTCGCATTCGACGGTGTTTGGCGACATGTCCGACTTCACTTTCCTCTTTGACTTGGGTAAGAGCCACGAGAGAATATGTGGCCCCTTCTGCCTTGGCCTTGAGCAGATGGATGGGTGGTAATTTGACTGCGGCGGCACTCTACTGCTGAGGTTCTTGAGAGCATCGACATCGGCTTCAGGGTGCCTACTGATTGTTGCAGGCTTGCAGGTGTTGCAAGTAGTCACAGCTTTGAATTCTGCCAAATCTGTCCTCTTGCTAGCCGATTTGATGAAACTGTCGGTGGAGAGAGCAGGCTGAAGGAAGGATGGATGGTTTCTGCATCCCATTCTGTTCCGTCGATGCTCGTTCGATGAAGAAAAGTGGAGCTCACTGTTTGATGAAGAGAATGTGTTGTGATTGTCGAAATCTGAGAAAGCCACCTCATCTTCCTGACCTTCATGATCCAAGCCGATTCCGCTCCAGTTCTCAGATAGGCTCCTGTTGTCTTGGCGAATATAATTCATTCCACTAAGTGCCTCTTCATCATAAGTCTGAAGGAATCCACCAAATAAGAAACAATTTTTAGTTGTCAGATGATGAATCAGGAAGCAAACAAAACATTCAGAATATTAACATGACCCATGAAAAAGGTCAGATTCCAAGAAGAGGCAGCAGAGTCCATGATTCATGCCAAGTTAGTGCAAACATAGAGTAACAGCTTAATAAATACAGTACTACGTACTACTGAGGAATCAGCTCGTTTCACAAAAATCAGCTTGGTAGAAAGTACGCGCACGGTGCACCAACACGGCAACAAAGTTTAAGCATTGATTTACACACCAAGGTTCATCATTCATCAATAAAACCTAAAGATAAGCTCTAGTATAGGGAGCAAGTTTTAATCTCAAATGGTGCTTGAGAAGAGCAGTACCAGTAATTAGCAACCAAACCTACAATTATCTTTTCTTCTTAAAAAAAAAGAAAAAGAAAGCAACCAAACCTACACAATATAGCAACCAAACCTACAATTATTTCTTCTTTTTTAAAAAAAAAAGAGAAAGAAAGCAACCAAGCCTACACAATATAATCCTCACATAAAGATGAACGAGAAAGCAACAGTCTACACAATATAATCCTCACAGAAAGATGAACAAGCAGATCCCGATTCCCGCAACTTAGCATAGCATAGTTGCAAAAAAGTTAAGAAAAATGGGATGGCAAGCAGACTAGCAGAACAGGCAAAATCAACCACCAAAGTGACCACTTCTCACGCTCCTCGATTGGAGAAGAAGAAACGAAAGCTGAAGATATATATATATAGAGAGAGAGAGAGATTGCTCACCGGAGTGAAGACGGGGTAGTCCTCGGCGACGGCGGCGGCGGCGGCCTTGGAGAGCGCGGGCGACGCGCCAGGCGGGAGGCGGATGAGCGACGCGGCGGGGCTGCGGCTGTACGCGCTCCCGGCATTGGCCGCCGCGGCGCCCTGGCCCTGGAGGAGCGCGGCGTGGAGCGCGCGCAGCTCGGTGGCCTTGGCGATGGCCGCCTGGATTTCGTGCCGCGTGGCGGGGGCCGGGACCGCCGCGGTGGCGTGGGGCGGGTGGTGGGTGGACGAGGACGACGAGGTGGTCGCCTCGGCCGCCATGGACACCGGCGAGGGCGGCGGCGGCGACGGCGGCGCGGGGAGCGGGGTCAAGTGGTGGTGTGGGTTGAAGTGCTACAGGTCATAGCAGAGCGGAGGAAGAGAGAGGGAGGGGAGAGGAGGGGGGTCGCTGCAGTTTGTTGCTTGTCGGTCCCGTGGGATGTCTGGAAATGAAGCGAGGGAAGAAAGGAACAAGGCAACATTGTTTTTGGTAGGCCTTCAACCCTACTTCCTGGCTCCCAAAATATAAATATTTTTATTATAGTGTGATGTTAAATATTTTTAATTTTAACTACTAATAGCGAAAAAAATGAAAAAATCAATAATGTAAAATTGATGTTCATTAAAACAAATTGTCATAATATGAAAAAAAATATTTAAAATATACTACATTTATAAATATTTCTAGTCAAAGTAGCATCTCAAAGACTGTGTTGAAGTCTAAAAATACTTATATTTTGAGATGAAGGGAGTAATATTTCTCCTTCTCTTTTTTTTTATTTCTTGTAAGGTGGTCCTGATCTTTTTTGAGCTTATGGATTATTAATATCATGGACCTTAGTATGGCTTATAAACATTATTAGTTTGTGAAAATTTCCTCCCTAGCATTTTTGATATTTTTTTTCTAACATGTGAAGTGAATCTAGCTCAATTGGTTAGGTTCGTTGTGGTGGAACCAATCCACCTAGATAATTGACACGGGTGCTCACAAGCTGACCTAATCTTCCGGAGATTCTTATAGAGATAGAGTGTGTTTGTGTACACACGTTGTGAGCGTTTGTGTTTATACTATTTTTTTAAAAAAAACTTTTTAAAAACAAATTTTCTAACCTTCTAATATTTGTGCTCTCGGGTAACTTTTGTAAATTCAGTTTCATCCATTATGTTTAAAGAAATGGGCAAAGGTTAGTTTTGGAGTCATTTTGTTCATATTTTCTACTAAAAAATAAAAGTATTTTTTAACTTGCAAACTCAGCAATAATTTATGAGTTAAAAGCATGATAAATAATTCCTAATATAGTTTGGCATCTTCCTAAAATATTTTAAAATGAAATTTGATGATATCATCAAGTCGTCCACAACAACGACAGAGGATATTGGCTAACACTTTCTTACTTAAAAAATGTCTTGCACGATAAGGTTTTTGTCATGGATGTGGATCCTTCCTATATTGCGTATAGGATAGCATAGCAGTTGCTAATATGTGGATCTATGTACATATATCAGTGGCTGCTGTACACCTGCATTATAGAATCCCTGTAATTTGCACACCATTTTGGCGGGATAAGCTGATGTTGCCTCAGGCGCCATGCCAATTCAAGCGTTGCTCAAGTCATCGTAAGAGGAAATAAAACCTGAAGGGTTTTTGTCATGTATTTTCTCCGTTGTGAGCATATGAGGAGGTACCGAAGTAGTAATCATAATGGCACTCGTAGGAGTGGTAATGCAGGACCAGCATGGATTTGAAGATGTATTGAAACGGAGTGGTGGAGGACATCATCAGAATTCAGAACGATGAAGAGAGAACTTTGGCTTTACAGATGAGAGATGCTGGTATCTACCTAAAAGTAGGAAAAAGAATGTTGAAGAGAGAGCTTGTACTACAACACTAAAAAACACGAATATTAGGGAATGACCTAATATCAAATAATTAGAGGAGATGCGGCTTTGAATTCAAGTCATCTAGTCCATCATCTTGTGTAGCTAGCCGGAAGACACTGATCGTTTCTCTACTACAACACTACAACTGTGCAGTAATAACCCTACTCTTTTCTTCTGCTTACTGGTAGTATAGTTTAGCATGTGGGACATTTGATAAATTTGACAGTTTCCCCTTCAAATCTATCAGTGGTACAGGGTGCAGAATGCATTATACTGTGCCGTGTACTGTACCCTATAGTCCCTGTACTAGTGTACTGTGGACTGTGGCCGGTTGCTTCTGCTGCAATGAACCATAGGTAATTTAATCAAGCTGTTCATTCAAAAGAATTAATCATTCTGCTGAGGTTTTTCTTTTGCCTGCCTATATATTTGCAGTTGCAACTGTCATTAGGTTACAACTCAATTACTTGGGCAACTAGCTGGGCCAATCCAGTGAAGCAGGACAGGGAGGAAGCAGGCAGGAGCACGGACAGATGGCTCCCACTCCCACATAAGCAGTGGACGGATTGATGGCACTGTCCAGTGTTGCCTCTCTTGAGACTTTCTTTCTTGTGCGCGTGTTCATCCTCAATAATCATTCACTGTCACCTTCTGTTTGTTTGGTGGTCTCGTACACATGCTTGTGCTGTATTAACCTACAGTATCTGATGTGCATCACTGCTAAAATTCAGTATTTTCAGAGGACTGTATTAATGTACAGTATGTGATGATCTAGGCAGCACTGGGCACAGTATTTTCAGAGGAGACGGGTTCAGTTCCGGCACCACTTTGCTTATCATGGTTGGGACTTATAAGCAGGGTTTCAAATCTGGATGATAGCCACTTGGTATTGGTAATGGGACAGATCGACGCGGTTTGATAGGTAAAACTGCTCAATAAACAGATTAGATTAAGAAAACGTTTAAGATAAAATCTATAAAAGTTTAGTTGGCCGAATTTTATTTTTATTCAAAAGAAACTGTTTTATTATCATGATTATCAACGAAATATTGGGTGCCTCTTTTCAAGTGGTAGACTCTGTTTTTTTAGATTACACGACAGATACACATGCGTGCACACCACTACACACGCTACATCACACTTACACCCTACAAATACATTTCCTAACACATGCTTTAAGAGATAAATGAATAATCGGACCACTACACCCTAATTTGGATGTATGCAGTTCAAGTTGCTTAGAAAAATGATGTACTATCAAATTATGGATCATGAGCCAAATAATACATACCTACTGAAAAATTACATCAGATTAGAACACGCCCTAACAAACAATTATTATCCAACAAGGAAACACAAAGTTTTTTGTGGCATGTCTAAGCAATCATCGATGTTTAGCTATTGTACACACTCTGGTCCAGTGACGCACAACGGCACAAGCCGGTTGCTGTCTCTCAGCCTCCTGTACTGTACACTCGTGGTTGCACTGGCAACTGTATGGTCACAAGGTTTTTGTACGAAACTGATCACGCTTACTTGTTTAATGGGGCAGTGTTTGTCTTAGAGCTGCGTGAGGCACTGAGGCTGGCTGGTTTGGATTAAGGAACATCAACGCTGGCCAAGATGATGAATTGATGATCATCAAGTGGCAAGCAGGAGCAATCGCCAGAGTCCAAATCAAGTACTGTATATTTTTTTCTTGTGTTTTTTGGTCATGGCAGAAGCTAAGCACCAAAAGAACAGCTAGTACAAGGCAGCATGATGAAGAGATCAGGCTGTGGTGCATATTACGCTTGATGATGATCCTGTTTGCTTAAGAGCAGGTACAATAAAAGGCTATAAGCCAGCTATAAATATATTTTAAAGAGATAAATGAAGAGAGAGAAAAGCAGTGGGCTACAGATTTGTAACCAGCTGTAGCACGGACTTTAAGACATACTGTGTGTATGACAGATAGGACCAGGTATTAATAGTATAGTAAGCAACTATTGTATGAATTAGTTATTACATTGGTTATAGATGATTTGGAGCTAGTAGTTGGCTATACTATTGAACTGGCTCTAATACAAAATGTACCCCCAATGATAGCACCCACTAGATTAGCCTAGGGGGATGTGCCACAACAGTGCTCAGGGCATAACTTTTTTTGGTTTTGTGATTTTAACCTCTAAGAAAAACACATAGAAAAGAGAGTAAAAACTGATGGTGTTTCGTTTCTTCTGATACGGAACGAAAGCAAATGTAGTATTATAAAATGATCAGTGGTAGTATATAAATTCGGTGGCGCCATTACGCGAAGCAGCTCCAATGGGAGCCCATCACATAGACGATCACATTTCACGGGCGCATGTGACCCTGTTTTTTGTTTGTTGCTTTCTTCTCTCGATAAAGAGCTGCATATCAATTCTGACCAGAAATCACCGTCGCGTGGCTGCGTGCTCAGAAATCAGGAAAGCGACTATCGCCTTTCTGACCAGTCCCCCACAGGCCACACAGCCTCTGCGTATGTAATTCTGCATGTGTGTGTGCATCATTCATTCACGGCTTCCATCCATCCCCAACACCACCCGAACCCCTTCGAAAAGAAGAAAGCTACTCGCACGCCAGCACGCGGTCGGCTTCCCCTCCCGGTCTCCCGCCCCGCCCGCGGCGAGGCCGGCAGCGTGACAACCGCGTGGAACGACGAGAGGGAGGCGAGGCGGCGGGCAGTCTCAACTCTCACGGCATAGACGAGACGGGCCCGTGTGGTACTGTGGTGTGGTGTGGTGTGCTGGTAGGGGCTCCGCGGCGTAAAGGCGCGTGCGTGGGTGCGGCCTCTTTTTCGTAGGCCCCGTTCCGCCCCGCCCCGCCCCGCACGCACCCACCGGTTCACCCAAGCGAGCGAAGCAGAGAGGCAGAGGCAGTCAGGCAGAGGGAAAGGCAAGGGCGCAAGGCAGGTGATGGATGAGGCGAGCACGAGCAGATCTGCAGATGGATGCAGCATCGCCAAGGGAAGGTAGAGAGGATGGGTCCGAGGGGGAGATGCCAAAGGGGCGCCTGTGCCGATGCCCCGCCTTCCGTTCCGCACCGCAGCCTTTGTCGTCTCGTCTCCCCATCCCACAGGCGTTTCCCTGGCGGGAGTGGGCAGGCAGGAGCAGCCTCTGCTATACTGGTGTCCTCTGCTCGTGCCATGAAAAATTTCTGGGTGGCCAGTTCACACCTGACCTGATACGTGTTTTGGTCAACATTTCGCTCAACGCTTTAGACCCCCCTCCTCCCCCCCCCCCCTCTTTTTTGCAACTAGTACGGTTTGCTTTGTAATCTAATTATGACATATATTAACTTATTATAAAGGAATAAAAAATGAAGTCTCCACGTTCACTCTCACGGGATAGAAATTCTCATATTAATTGGAGAAAAAGAAAAATATAGTCCATATAGAAATACAATTTAGAAATAATTGAAATTCGGAATTAAAAAAAAGGAATATTGGAAGAGGAGACTAGAGTAGAGTCCATATAGAAATACAATTTATAAATAACTAAAATTCGGAATTAAAAAATAAATAATATTAGAAAAAGAGTATATAATCCA